CACGTTCCTGCAGCACTCACCACCACCCTGGTCCTGTTATCCGGCAGCGTGTCAATGGCCAGGGTGCCCCCACCCAGGTCCTGGCTCAGCTGGGTCCTGTCCGGCTCCGACACCTGCCCGGGGCTCTCCCGGGCTCTCCGGTTCCAGCCCCGCAAGGCCCCCTCGGCGGCCCATCCAGGGGCTTGGCCTGCATCCAGACCTGGGGGAAGGGGACAGAAAGGTGAGTCCTGAGAGTCGGAGTGAAGGCCTGGGAGGGGAACCAGCCCACTTCCTCTGCAGGGGCCCTGCCACCACTGCCTTTGGGGACACTGACTACCAGGGCGGGAGACACCCCATATGCACGAGACAGGGACCCAGCCCCACTCCGTGCACTTTGCACATGTGGCCCTTTCAGTCCTCACCCCGACCCTCCCCAGTACATGGATGCTCTCCACTTCACAGACAGGGGTCCAGCTCCCAGAAGTTCAAGAAGGTCACACAGCAGGTTAGGGATGGAGGTAAGTTTCAAACCCAGTTGGACCTGCCTCCTAAGCGGTGATTACTCTTAACCTCAGCTGCCCTGGAATCATCGGGGATCTTTAAAAATCCCTGATGCCTGTGTCCCACCCCAGAGACTACGGTGTAGTGCGGTCCATGGTGCGGCCTGAGCACTGGGATTCTTAAATGACCCCCAGGGTAGCTATTGAGAAGCCCTGGCCCAGCCTAGGTGACTCAGGGGTTGAGCACTGACCTGTGAACCAGGAGGTCCTGGTTCAATTCCTGGTCCGGCCATATGCCAAGCACCGGATTGGGAAGTGGTGGCACCCAGGCCATTTAGCAGCGATTCCTAAACTCAATGTTCTCTCCAGTTCCCTCATTAGATTTATTCTAAATGGCACAGATACCATGCTTGTCCATTCCCGAAAGATGGACACAGATGTGTCCTATATTGTCACTCCAATAGCCACCCCTACGAGGGATGTGTATACGGGGCACAGACCACCAGACCAGTGGATCTGCTAGTCCCTGCGAACTTCGTCACTTTCAGGCCCACCCTGTGTCAGATGCCTGTCTCCACCCAGGCATCCTGGATGTAGCTCTGGATGTAGCTCTCTTGCCCAGAGCATCCACTGGTGTTGTAACTACCTGCCTGTCTCCCTGCTGCCCCCAGGACGCTCCCACCTTCTGCAAATGTGTATCCTCGGTGCCTAGCAAACACTAGGTGCTCAATCACTGCATAATTGAGCACACGAGACTGGAGGTAACCTGGGAGCCAACAAGCACAGAGATTGAGACAAGGTTTGGCCAGGCCCAGGCCTGGGGCTGGGGCCAGGACTCTTTGCTGTGAGGCTCTGGTTTGTCATTAGACATTTTATCCAATTAAGTCATTCTTGGCTGCTGGCGCCTGCTGGACCCTTGCCGGCCCCCTTTTACTTCTCTGCCCCTAATTGCAACCAGATGCTCTGGAGAAGCTGGGGAGAGGGGCGGCCTCCAGACCCCTTCCCCGCGATGCCCACTGGCTGAGATGGCCCTGGGCCCGGTGTGGGAAGACAGCCTGCCCTCGGTCCCATCCCAAGCCAGGGCTGCCTTGCCTTTCTCGGCCGAGGCCCACAGCTGCCTCTGGAAGGAGAACTCTTTGTGCTGAGCTGGTGTGCCCCGCTCCCCGCGTCTCCTGCAAGCAGCCCTCGGGCCTGGGCAGGAGCCAGGACAGGAAAGGAGCATGTGCCGAGCAAGCAGAGGAGGTGGGCCGGCCTGGGCAGGGATGCTGGGATCTGCAGGCATCACAATCCTGCAGCTGAGACGGGCGGGTGCCTGGATGGTGGGGGCCCAAGGCCTGGGGAGAGGGCAGGGAGTGGGTACCCAGCTAGAGGTGGGGTAGGAGAGGACACGGCTGTACCCACAAGCTGTTCGACCTCGGACCCCTCTGTTTATTTCTCTAAGCCTCAGTTTCCGCATCACGAAAATGGGGGCAACAATCACTCCTCTGAGAGGCTTTATAAATAGAGGCTCAGGGTCAAAGGCAGAGTCCCTGAAGGAGGGCGGGGCAAAGGATAGACAGGAGGCAGCCCTACTCGGGCCTAGTCCTGAATCTTGCCCTCCCAGACCACACACTCCGTCTCCCTGCCACCCTCCCCCTCCCAGCTGGCTGGGACAGGACATCATCCCCTCAGCCCGTGGACGGATCCAACACAGCTGGCGGCTCACGTGTGTGTGTGCAAGGTCCACGTGCCTGTGCATACACACGTGGGCGCGCGCACACACAGACTTGCCTGAAGGCCCTGGCTTCCTCCCTATGTGTTCACGCCTGTGTTACACGCCTATCCGAACCTCGGCTGCTCCCTGCTATACCTCTGCCTTGCGTTGGGGAGCCTCTGCGTGTGAGTGAGGCCAAGAAGCTTCCAGAACACACTGTTCCTTTATTCCTGCACTCATTCGCCCACGGCCCCACTCGGCATAGGGTCTAGTCTAGTGGGATGTCACAACAGTAACAGGGATCATGGAAATGACAGCTCGCTGGTAGAGAACGGCTGACACTGTGCGGGCGCCGTTCCAAACGCCTTACACACATTAACTCATTTAATCCCCACACAGCCCAGGAGGCAGGTGCTCGTTTTTCATCTATTTTACAAACCGGGAGACTGAGACACAACTAGTCGGTGGCAGAATTTGCACTCAGGCCAGCAGGCTGGCGCCGGGCTCTGTCCGACCACAGAAAGCGCAGCAGGATGTGAGCTGCAACGCCAGCTGCTGCCCACTGTGCACGGGCAGCCCCGGGGCAGGGCTGGCATGTGGGCTGGGCTCCTGGACGCCCTGCTCTGAGAACCATTGGACTTGCACCTGGGAGCTGCCCTGGGAGACTGTGTCCCCTGTCTTGGAGGTAGTGCCCCAACCCCCTTCACATGCCACTGCCTTGCTCCGGGGCAGGAAGCAATGGGCTGCTTTCAGGAGGGCAGGTCATGCCACCACTCCTGAGGGTGCCCGGTCCAAGCCACCCTCATCCCACGACTCACCAAGCTCGCCATTCCAGGCCCAGAACCACCACTCGGTCCGGCAGCTACTTCGGCCTCCACCTTTAATGCTCTTCCGCCGGGCTCCCACCTGCCCGCCAGCGCATCTAGGAGACAAACTGGGTGCCAACTCTCCCAGGCGTCCCACTCGCCACAGGCCTCCAGCTAAAGATTCAGCAACTGTCCCCAGCATTCGAGGCCCCTGTGACTGGATCCCTGCTCCCTCTCCAGCCTCCTGACTCCCTAACGCACCCAGCCCTGCTCTCTCCGGCCACAAGGCTTCACATGCAGTTTCTCAGCCAGGATCACTCTGCTCCATACGTAAGTAAACCCGTCTCCCAATGAGCTCTTGCTCATCCTTCAGGTCGCATGAGATGTCACTTCTTCCCAGCGCCTCCCCGGATATCTCTCCCCCTCTCCCAGAACGCTTCCCGTGGCTCCCCAGCCCCGATCAATCGATCGCAACATATCGCCGCTGCCTGGGCATCTGTAGGCTCCAGGTGCCTGGCACAGAGCAAATACTCAGTAAGCTCAGAGATCGGCACTGAGGGGAAGAAGGAAGTGAGGGAGGAAGGAGGGAGAAAGGAGGCCAGGAAGGACCTTTAAATGCCCTGAGTATGAGACCCACGAGGCTGACAGACCCTCCCCTGGGGCAAGGCCCCACTGGAAGCCTCACTGTCATGTCCCCGCAACAACGGAGCACAGGTTTGGGACCAGACAAGCCCGAGAAAGAAGCCTGAATCCACGCCTTACTGCCTGCAACACTGGACAGACTACAAACGCTCTCTCCGCTTCGGCTGCCTCCTCTGTAAAATGGGGATGGTAAGCCCTCCACTTGGCAGGTCGCTTTGAGTCTTTAGCAAAATAACATACACAAAGTATCCCCCGCGGTGCAGCCTTCCCTGGGTCTCACATGAGGACCGACTTTCCGACTTTCCGAGGGGCTTGGGACAGGCCCATTCGCCATAAGCGGAACCCCTGCCTCCTCGCTACCTGCCCCACCCGCACCCTTTCCCCTCCTGCTGCCGGCAGGTCCCACCGGGACCCTCATCTGGGGAGAGGGAAGGAGGCACAAGGGATTGGCAGGCAGAGACCACCAAAGCGTCAAAGAAAAGAGGAGAGGAAAGGAGAGAGAAGAGTTTGGCTCCCTGTGTGTTTCTCTCAAAGGAAGAGAGCCTGTGACCACCTCTGATCCACTCACTCATTCAGAACGTTTATTGAGACTGTGCTGTGTGCTGGGTGCCATGTTGGCTGCCGGGGTGACAACAGTGATCAGGCCGACACGGCCCCTGTGCCTGTGAAGATTCCAGTTGCTAAGACATACACAAGATTAATAATACAGCCGGGCCCTCTGTCCACTTAGGCCTAATCTTCCCGTAAGTAAATTACCGTGTAATGAATTCTCTGATATTCTATGGAGTTGCCAGCTTCGTCCTGTGGTCTGAGAAACCTTCATGTTACGGTGGCCTGTCCACCTGGGACAGATCTCAGCTCCCTCCTGAGCCATCCCCCGACCCCGCCCCCCCACGCCCAGCCCAGAGGACGCGGGAGCCTCATGGCAGAACCCCCTCAGGCCCAGCTCCCAGCTGCCCTTTCACTCGTCCAAGGACTCCACCACCCATCAGAGCTGGGCTGTCCCTCCTTAGTGGCCTCCCCCAGAATGTCCCACCCCCACACCTGTTCTCTGCCCAGGACAACCCCTGCCTCCATTCGGCCCTCTGTCCAATCCAGCCTGGCCTTGGGGAAGGAAAACTAAACTGAGAGTCAGCCGCTACCTGCTCTGGCTTCCAGAGCTTCCTTGGCTCTAACATCTCCCCTCTGCAGGGAAAGTCCACCTCTCCCGCCGAGTCCGCCAAAGCCGGGAGGACGGCGAGATCCGCGCTCTGCCTGCCCGCTCTGCCTGGCCTCCCCAGGCCTCTCCTTCCTCAACCCCCCTCCGAAGAGGCGGCCTCCGGCCAGGCCTGGGTCTGGCCACAGCCCCCCCCAACACACATCCTTGTTATCCCCCAACTCCCTTTCCCAGACCTTCCCACGGCTCCTCCAGTTCTGCCGGCGTTCATTCAGAGCCCTCCCCCACTGACCTGGCACATCCTGAGTCCAGAAGATCCCACCAGGTCGGGCTACACAGGAGCTCAAACACTGGTCTGTCCAACCTCTTCCTTTTTATAGTTTTTAAAATTATCAATCAACCAGACATATCATAACAAGTCAGAAAAGAGGCGACAATCATCAAAAAAGAAAAAAGATCTTTCATAATCCCACCACCAAGAGCCAAAGACTTTGCCCGCAGCCTCACTGTATAGAGGCCAGAGGCCCAGAGAAGGAAGACAACTTGTTCCAGGTCACACAGCAAGGGAGACGCTGGGCAGAGAAGCCAAGCCTCCGGGCCATTCTCTGCGTGGGCTCCCTGAACACTGGTGGCCCTGCCCCAGCAGCCTCTTGCCACATCAGCCTCCACTGCTCTCTGCCCACATCTCCGCCACCAGCCCCCTCCCGCACCCAGGCCTTTATCAGCTGCAGACAGGGACCGCCAAAGCCAAGAATGCTGTCACAGACACTGTGCCTGATGCTAGCGTCCCCCTGAGCTAGCGGCCCAACTGCAACATGCCCCCACACACACACACACACCGCTCTGTCCCATCGGAGGGACCCCATGCCAGTGAGGCACGGAGCTCTATCTTCCTGGTTCTCTCTGTCAAGAGGTTTTACTGCAAATTCCCCACCTCCCCAACCCCGAGGTGGCCTGGGTGCATGAGGAGGATGTAAAGTTACCTGTTGACAAAACGGTTCTTTTCTAACATGAGAGATTCGTGGTAGAGCTCAGAAAGGACTTCCGGAGGGAGAGATGGTGGTGGAAGAGTGGTGAAGGGGAAGAGGAGGGTGCAGACAGGAGCCCCAGTCTGGAGCCAGGGCAGCTAAAGGCCACCGGGCAGGGCAGGGCAGGGCAGGGCAGGGGCGGCAGGAGGACTGGGAGGCTGGGGGGTAGGGGAGCCGCAGTTGCTTCTTCCTGGGCCCCGGACTGCTCTGCAGGTACCAGACCGAGAGGGGAAGGCTCCAGCCCAGGCCGCCACTGCCCTTCCTCTGGGAGAGAATTAGCCCTGCGCCCTGTGGCCAGGGGTCCTATGACCCTCGCACTGTCCCCTGGGGGCCCTCAGCCCCCCGCCGGTGGAGCCCCTCCCCGGGGGGGCCTCTGGGGTCCCTCCAGGAAGACAACTGTCGCTGCCTCCACCCTCACTCCCACCCCATGTGTGTGGGAAAGTGGGGTCCCGGTCCA